TACTCGTGAAGTACATAATTTCATACTTTATTTTCTGTAACTTAACCTATGCACTTCCCAGATGATTTTTTTTGTGTTACCACTAATTTAGATAAATAAAATTAAACGAAAGTTTTTGTGGAAATGTTACAGGCCTAAAGTTTTGAGGATAAATATTGTCTGTTACAATATACTGTCATTCAAGAACAAAAAAGGTAATTTTTATTTTATTTCATATTTCTCAACTTTCACTACAGTTAGCGTTTGGGTACAGAAACAAAACGTTTGATATTCATTTAGGGAGTTCTACAGGTTATTTAAATGAAATATGAGAATTTTAAAATGAAAAGAATATTTTTTATTCTTAACATGAAAATCACTTCCACTCAGACTAGTCGGTCTGAGCCGGACTGATTTCATAAATTCCCCAATTTTGAGTTAAATACTTAATTGAAAATTTTTTTTTTTTATTGTGTACAACAATTAATGTTTACTAAAAGTTTGACAAGGTTTGTGAAGATTCACATTTAGTATTGTTGCTAGGTATAGCTTCACAGACTGTCACTACAGTGTTAATTTGGAATCAAAAGAAGGTAAACGGTTGAATGGTGAACAAAGAAAATAAGTTAAAAGTCTTTAACTTTTTGGTAAAAAAAATTTACAAATTGTTTGCCTACAAACTAAAACATTTGTTATGTAGACATTTCAATACCGAATATAAAGCTAAGTTTTTCAATTTAAACACTACTCTAGGTTTAAAATTTCACCAAATGGAGTACCTGATGAGCAGTGATAATCTGTTGTAATCTTTGCTGCATTCTGTCCTGTGCAATGAGAAGACCATCGTAATCCAGACTGTCAGCTAAAATGACATGGCCTCGGGAAGCGGTGGCTTCATAGACTCGATCATCGCTAGGTGTAGGAGGAAAACCAGAACTGGGTGTTCGGGAATGCTGAGGTGTTGAATAGCGAGAACTGTATCCTCCTGCACTCGAAGAACAGGAAATTGAAGACTTTCCACAGGATGAAGGAGAATCTTCATCCCAGAGGTTTCGAATCCTTCTCTCACTAGATACATTCCTCACTTCTTTCATATCTAGATTGTTTGTGTTTAACAAGTCAGTCCATGGTGTTGTCTTAGCCAACCAACAACTTGACACTGTACCACTTTCACATATGCATGAACCACTTATATCTGTTGTGCTTGTACTTGCAGAGAGCATGTTAGGTGAGAAGTCAGGGAGTATTTTACAATTTCCCACAGCTTCTTTCGACCTGGTAACATTCAAACATTCTGTATAACTATTTTCTATGGTTTCTGATTGTATTGAAGTTCTGGAACTGTCTGAAGGCACCGTCCCATTTTCACTAACTAATGTGTCTGTGGATCCATCAATGGATGGATTAGTCGCCTCGGGAGCAGACTGACAGGAACTTTGATCCTCACCTTGAACTTCCACGGCTGGAGAGGTACAAGTATGATCTGCAGCTTCGCAGTTTAAGCCAACATTAAGGGTTAAGACTAGAGTATTATCTCCAGAATGCAGCTGTTCTGGCCCAGGATCAGCTATATCACCAACACCAATTGCTGGATCACTGGACCGTCTCTGTCTTTCAGGATGATGGCCCAGTTGGAAGATATTGTCACACGACTTGGTTTTGACCAGTTGACTTGTATCTGGTGTACTAAAATCTCCAGCACTGTCCACATCCTCGTTACAAACTGAAGGCATCACAGCAGGAGGAAGGTACACGTCGGACCAGACCACCATATCTCTTATCTGACACGAAGGCCTTAACACCTGTAAACAATAATTACACATTTGAAATTAAACCAGTTATTGTCTAACAATAATGTAACAACACTTCAACCACAGAGTAATTTTTTGACAGTGTTTGTTTATAGAATTTTATGGAAAGGTTAATCAATAGTGACCAATGGTCTTATTCTACACTCACAGTGTGGAGAGTGTTTTTTTGCAGCAACAGGATGTGGAACATGAACTGTTAGATTCATGGTTGAAGAACACTAACAACTAGGCCACATTCTTGACAAAATCAAAGGTCACTGTTGTATCATACAAAACCCTAAAAAATTAATGCACACTATACAAAGTACCTGTTCACTATGAACAAACAGATAGTTGTAGAAGCTCTCTGGTCTGGAAGCAAGGTACGCCCAGACTGAAAAAGTCCTTTCTCTCACGTGTTCCTGGTCACGTTCCTGACTACTGTTACATAGAAATGTCCCAAACAGACAAGAAAACGTATGGTGAGCCAGCTTGACCTACACACAGAAGAAAAAGAAGATAACTCTCACAATACGTTTTTTTAAAGATTTATATTGACAAGAAATAGTTCATTTCTTCGCTTTAACAGAGTTTGCTTTGCAGGATTAACATTTAGGTAGAATTTAATATAACAGATTTTCTATTAAAAGTAAAGAGCAAGAAATGTCCAGAGACATCTCAAAAGTAAATAGACACCATGATTTTTTTTCAATAGTCATTTATCTCACATTATCAACTTGACAAAAATGTTTACAAATGTGCATCAGTATTAGTCGATTTGCCACTAGTATTTTTCAGTGCTCTGACTCGTTCTGGCATGGAATAGATGAGTTCTGTAGTTTTCTCCTGTAGGATCTTGACCCAGGCTGCACAGAAAACATCAAGTAGCTCTCCACGGGATGCTGGTTTTCTGGAACTTCTTCTCACTGTTCGAGCTAGTATGACATACTCGATGGGGTTCATATTACGTGACTGATATGGCCATAAGGGAGCCGTTGGATGCCTTTCTTAATTAAATGACTGTTGAATAAACATTTACTTTGAGATGTCTCTGTATATGTATTTAAAGTGAAATAAGTCCATAAGTAGGATTAAGTCGATGCTCCTATTAACTTGAACAGTACTTTGGTTGTAGCCTGTTCACTACTAGAACTAGAGATTTATTTTACTAACATAAAGATCAAAACACTTGTCTTCAGAGCTATAATTTATCAAAATATTAAATCTTGTTAAATATGACAAATTACAAAAATGTGTGTTTTTATGGTCAAAGTGAAATGGGCTTTCAATTGATGTGTAAGTTTGTCCAGATGGTGTGGAAAATTAAGTAAGATAACATTTTAAACTTAACGAATCGCCGTAAAAATTATAAGATAACGTGGAATTTTTAATACTGGGGAAAATCAAAAGAAGGTAGATTTTATTCCAACTTTTCCTCAAGAGATGTCTACTTTTTGTAAATTCTTGTAGTTCTTTCACTAACTGAATTCGCTATCTCAATATAAAAAGAAAACTACGAAAATTATTAAAATTTTTTTTTATAAAACTTTCGTATAAGAAATACTTGAAATTTCACTGTTGAGAGTAAAACATTCTACAACCTGTAGTAATATGTTAAATAAACGCTAACTCTTACACCGCACTGTCATGAAAGAGGTGATACTATCGATATATGCTCTAACGATGATAGTAGGAGAAAATAATTTGTGTAGCACACAACCAAGAAGAGGTCTCCTTAACAACTCACATTCTACACTCTCACAGAGTGATGGGATTGTACTCCAATTGATGGTGTGTTTTGGTGAAAACGGTCAATGTACATTAGTATGAAGAGGTCTCCTCAATAACTCGCATTCAAACACTCACAAAATGCATTAGGAAAAATATTTAAATCCTTACTCATAAACTCTGACTACCAATGTACCCTGTCCAGGACTGGAGCTACAGTACCCTGTTCAGGACCGGAGCTACAGTACCCTGTCCAGGACCGGAGCTACAGTACCCTGTCCAGGACCGGAGCTACAGTACCCTGTCCAGGACCAGAACTACAGTACTCTGTCCAAGATCAGAACTACAGTACTCTGCCCAGGATTAAGATATAATGAATTTTGAATGCAATTCAACAGTGTTTAAGCTATTAACAAAACAAGCGGGCTAAAGCTCATTAGGAGGTTAGCATTCAGTCATTTTTCAGGAAAAACTAAGTACTGTATAAAAATGTAATTACTTTTAAAGTTTATTTTAACTGTCAAATAAAGTTTAGAAAACCTGTAACTTCTTTATAGATAGTATTCATTTGTCTTTTTTATCAAAGTTATCAAGTTTCACTAAATGTTCAGCTAATCTGTAAAATACACCATAAGAGTGGTAAATACTGAAACAAGGTTGAACATACCAAGTACTGCTGACTAAATTCAAAGCTGCATGGGAATTGATGAAGGAGCTGATGAATGCAGTCCAGCCACTGAAGAAAAACTGGGCATCTTTCATTAGGGTCTTCCAACCCAGGACCATTACCACAACGGTCACTGAACTTGTGGCCAAAATCTAGCCATTCTCGTTCAACGAGAACACGAAATCCCTAGAGAAATAAAAAATTTTTTTTAAACATTATAGAAATCTGTATGCTCTTTGAACCTATATTTCTAGCAAATAATAAAAATAGCTTTCTGAGTAAAATCCACATAGTAATAAATGTGTAACATGATAACACACACGACAAGACAGATCATTTTTATGACACATCAAGATAGATTATGTGAACACGGAAGTTATATCAAACAGGTCTGTAAAATGATTGACTACTCAAATCTGCTCTTTGTTTTAATTTTTTTTTCACATGTGAGGCTTGTGAATAAAAGATAAGCCTGACAGAATGTGTATCCCTACTACTGTTTCCTTTAAACACTTCTCTGACTTAGGTATATTGTAATTTGTACCAGAGTTTTACTTCTCTGTGCTTTATGAGCAATGATTTTTGAACTTCTGTAAAAAAACTGCCTTAAATGTACATATATAGACACAAAATGACATTATGTAAACACGGATGTCATGAAATATACAAGACATACAAAATGACATATGCCATATTCACGTTCACATACAAGACATGAATAAAACTACATTATACAAGCATGGATATCCTGATATATATAAGACACGGTGTCTTGTATATATCAGGATATCCATGCTTGTATAATGTAGTTTTATGTAGTTTTATTCTATATCAGGATATCCATGCTTGTATAATGTTACAAGACAC